AACTGTGTCCAGTGGCTTGCTCAGATTTTGATCATTACATTGTTTATTCTAGCCAAAATAGTTTTATGCAACTAGATTGGTTGTTTTCCAACCAATCTATTCTTAGAAGCTATCCAAACTCTATCCAGCTGACACCAACTTTCCTACAAACTCCCACATATTGGCTGAATACTAAGGATGTTAAATGCCTGTCAAAATTCTTGCGCTTTCTGAACCTCTTCCCGGAGCGATCACGTGGTATCACGGTAGCGAGGCCTCGGACGTCATCAGTTTTGGCCCCTCCTCTAAAAGAATCACGCCTTGAAACATGCTTCGGGTAAACGCCCCCCTGCATGACTTGACACACTCCTCGGCTCATCTCATAACATCGCTAGCTTCTTCTGTTCCCATTTAAAAGTTGGCAGAACAAAAGGCTGCTGTGGTGGTGCAATATTATATACTTATAGGACATTCTGCTAAAAAAATATTATAAAACCTATGTTTCCTCAGAAGTATGAAAGGAAAAGCTTGGCAAGCAAAGAATTATGTATAGAAAAGGCTAACAGTTTTTCTAACCTCTGGAAAAATGAGTATTAAAATAGTCTTTTAATTTCCAATCGTGTTGCTTAAGAAATGAAGTTATATTAACAGTAGCGATAGGTTTGCTAATGATTATGGCGAAGGGTACAATTAAAATCTAAAGGCAGGTAAAAATGTCAGCTAAAAATCAGTCTTTTCTTTGAACTTGTTAAACCCACTTTAAGAGTGGCTCTTCTTTTACATACATGGTTTGACGTTGCCTAGAAACACATTATGATATTTATAGCTTTGGAAGGAAAATCAGAATCAGACAAAAAAGTATATAATTTTTGAAACAAAGCTGTTAAAAAGCAACATGAATATCTGATTGGCTCATCAGTAGGCTTTAAATGACTGCTGCAGCCAAAGTAGGACCTGAACGACTCTGTGTTTAATGCAGAGCATGCGGCTGACCTTTCAGAGAAGGTTTCACTTTCTTCTCTGATTATTAATCATACTACTAGGAGACAAATTTATACTTGTGTCAAGCATCAAATTATAATTAGTTTATATGCCAGACCAAAAAAAAATCTATTGATGTGTTCTTAAAATCAAACGGGTTGTTTAAAAGATTAAAATGCAAATATTGGACATTGGTTATCAAAAGGATGACAGGTGCAGTTTTTTAAATATTCCATGCATGGAAGTTTTCTTTGTGATTGTGATAATTCGGTCCTCAAAGAAAAAGTAAATCATACATTTTTTATTTCCCTTTTTTTTTTATTCTCACAATTTGATTTGTTTTGTCAAGCTTTTTGCTTCTGTGTGGGCCAGAGGTATGGCAGGAGAGAAACAGTGCATGCATAATTTAGGCTGTTCGGCTGAAGCTCCTTTCTGCCAACATGAGGAACTGGACCAGAATTTATTTACTGACCCTGTGTACCTACAGCTGTCTCCTCTTTATTATTATATTTTGTTATTTTTCCAACGGTGATTAAAGTAAAGTAGCTAAATGGTGTTCACATAACTGTGAATAAAATTATTTCCCCCCCTTTAACTGCTAAGCTTTCACCTTTTTATAGCTTGTGCACAAAGGAATTGCATACCCAAATTCCATTATGCTATGTCCAGTAATATAATTTTAGAAATCCCACCTGCTTTTGATGTATCACACCTAAAAGCTAAGATCCTCTAGCTCCAGGATATATACAGAAACTATGTAGCTTAAAACATGTCCAAAATTATATTTTTTTCTGTCACATAAAATTATGCAAATTTCAATATTCTATATTTTGGGTATAATTTATGGTTGACCTCTCCAGCTCACCACACTTGTTGGTTGTGTTGTGGATAACAAACATATAATATTTCAGATGTCTAGCTCTAAGCATTGTGAAACCATCACCCTTTATCTATGCAAATGGTCCATTCGGTACAATTGTTCCAAATTAGAACCAAAAGTGGCAAACTGGTTTATTTGAATTTTATGACTGATTTGAACATAAAAAAAACTAATTTGTATATGTAGCTTTACACCAGTTTTCATTCAAGCACTTTCTTTTATATTTCCAATTTTCACCTTTCAGAGTTTTGACTATGCATTTTCTGTTCGTATCCAGAGGCCAGTTTCACAAAGCAGGTCTAACAAACCCAGACTCAAATCCTCAACTTTGAATTCATCTAGCATGCGCTTGGAAACTGAGTTTTTGGTTTCACAAGAGCTTAGCTAAATTCCAAATCGGCCCCTTAACACTAAGCCTAAGCTCTAACCCTCCATTTGTGGGTAGCCGTTGAGGGTCCGCCACAAAAGGGGCCATCCCAAACCATTTAGTGGGTAGGGCCCTTAAATAGTTAGTCTGCATCAGTACAGGCTTGCTGGAACTTGGCAGCAGGTATAAAGGAGAGCTAGTGCCGGAGAAAACGTGCATTAAAATTTAAGGTGGTTTGCTGCACCGCCATCACACTGACAGAAAATCACAAGTTAGGGAAAAAAAAAAAAAAAAAAACGAATTATTCCCTAAATGGAAGGTCTACTTTCAAATAGTTTTACTGAGTGGATAGAATATATTTTAATAAAATGGCAAATGTCTGATGTCATGTTAACCACACACTTGCGGCGTCATTGGGTTTCCATAGAAATGACTGCTTTCCTTTTCTGTTAGAGGCAAGAGGCCATCTAAGGCATCTTAACTTGTCAGTTAAGGGTAAGTCGTTAGGGGACGGTTTGGGATTTAACCCTACAATAAGTTAGTTATCACCTCTGAGTTGGTCCACTTAGGCCCCGTCCACACGAAGTCAAAACGAACACGAAACGCTGATATTTTCCAAAACGTTTGCCGTAAAGACGGAGACGTAAAATAAATGTGAGCGTCCACACGAATGCATGAAAACGCTGCAAAATGTATGCCAGGCCTGTAAGTGGCGCTGTGGTGCCAAAGCAAAAATAAGCGACGAAATGTAGGGAATGCGCACTAATATTTATACATGGTTGCCCTGCGGGTCTATTTTCGTGGTTAAGTCAAATTCAGGTGCTGAACTATGTGGTCGATATTGCTCTGTTCTTCATGGAGATATTCCAGAAGAAGAAGATTCTGTTGTAAGCCCGACCAGCCCGACAGCAGGGTGAGTAGCATTAGCAGCAACGGCGCCATTGTTGTTGTGATGTGTCGCGCTTGCGTGTTTAGAGGCGACGCTATGACGCATGCGTGTAAAAAAAAAATGCGGTTAGGGTGTAAACATGGAAACGCGAAAACGGCGTTTCAGAATCTTCCCACTCTGAAGGGTGAATAAAAAAATGATCGTTTACAGACCCCTGAAACGCCGGCTTCGTGTGGATGAGAGGCTGGTTTGGTGAAAAATTTGTGCGTTTAGGCCAGGGTTCGTCTTCGTGTGGACGGGGCCTTAGACTTGAGCACGTGCCTAACAAGTATGAAAAGCCATTATCAGTGGAGCACCGATTTGACAAGTCGCCATGACAACTGGCAACAGGAAGTGCCTATTTCATGGAACTGGAACTAGAGATTTTAATGCAGAAATGAAAAAACAAAATAGAGAATGTGTTTCAAAGACAGAGCAACAGCGCTACAGCTGCAAAGGAGAGGGATATGGCGTAATAGAAGACTGCTGCTCGAGTTAATGCATATGTTTATATGTAGTCCGCTATGGCAGGCCGTTTTAACCTTTATTAAAAGCACTCTCCTCTCTGTTGTTTCAAATTTTGATCACTTAATTAGGATTCCTCCTAGTCAAAATTGTACTATAATAACAGATTTTCTAAATAACATTTTTGTCAGAAGAAACTTAATTTCAGAAAGTAATAAAAGTCCAAATCCTTCTAGTAAGAATTAAGTTGGGCCTATTTAAACTAGGACAGAGTGTGTTTTGGAATGCCAGAAGACAAAAAAAAGGTCAGGAGTGAAAACAATGAGTTAGAATTTCATGATATATTACAATATCAGTTATCTGTGTTTTTGGAGTATGTGGGTGTGTGGGTTATGTGAAGTACAACATGTTCTTCTTGCAAATAAACTTGGTGTAAGATGGGAAACAAAATGTGACGTCAAAACTTCCCGGGGCAGGCAGGGGAGCTAATGGGTTAATGGTTTATTTATTTTTATTTATTTATTTTTTTTCTACTGCTTTACTTTCAGAGAATGGGAAATCTGCCACAGAGGCTTGAAATGCTATGCCAATCTATCAACATCATATTCTGTCCTCTCAGATTTATGTTGTGTATTTAAATGGGCTGCTTCTATCTGTGAATTATGTTAGTTTCCAAAGCCAGTCACATACACAAAGCATATCAATGTTTTAAAGACATTTATAGTTCCCACTGTGCCTGAATGCAACAGCAGTTATCTGTTGTTCAGCTCCTGTGTTGAACCGTTAGTCATGATACCACACCACCGTCACCAGAGGCCCCGTCCATCTCGGCCCCATTTGAAAAAAAATCTATAACTGTGAGAAACAAAGACGTTTTCATCGTTTGTTTGTTTTTTATTAAAAAAATTAAAATTTTCTGGTTTAAATGTATTTTTCAGTTACATTTTTTTTCTTTTGCACAAACTTTACTTAGCTCTATATTTCTCCTGTTATATCCAATAATTCTGACCTGAAAACAAACTGACAAATTGAGTTCTTTGTGCATTTGTAAGAAAACACTGTACTGACAGTTACCACTCTAGTTCTTGTATAATAAAAAAAAAAAACATAATTAAATTAAAAGTGGGTTAAAATATATTTCTTGCCTATTGTGCTACATGACCTTACAAACCTGACCAGGGCGAAGAGTCATTTAGTGTTTGACTTTGCAGGTTAATGTACAGCAGATGAAACGGTTGCTTTTTGCACTGATGAGGATTGGCATTAAGAACCCACGGGAGATTGCAGGTCAACAGGATGTGAAGTGTTTTGATCACGAGAGAAGCGTTTGTTTCTTATTATAAGTACTGCAGAGTGGGGTGGTTTGCTCTGTTAAATAATGTCTCTTTCTGTTTTGAAAGGACCCAGATCAACTTCACGGTGGCCATTGATTTCACAGCTTCCAATGGTGAGTATACAGCCTAAAGATTGAGGAAATACTCTGAGTATGTTAAAGAAATGTATTCAAGTATATGCAAATGCAGAACAAGTGTTCCTTAAGGACACCCCCTCGTCCCAAACCACTGCCACAACACCTGGGAGCTGAAGCTCATCATAAGAGGCTAAGATAGTGTTAATTACAGGCAGTTATGCTACAGTTGAAGTTATGCCATGCAGAACAAGCAGCAGCAATACTAATGTGTCTGTTGGTGCACCTGGTCTGGTGGGTTTATTAGAAACTGAGACCATGAGTTACAACCTTGGAGGTCAAGATAAACTGCACATTAATTAAGGAGGCAAGCAGAGCATTTCCTCTTTTCTTAAGAACCCGTTTAACAGTTTGTTTTCACTTACAGCAAAATATTTTCATAACATTAGATGTCATACTCTATAATTGACAGGAAACCCAGCCCAGCCGACGTCTCTTCACTACATGAGTCCGTACCAGCTGAATGCCTACGCCATGGCCCTGAAGGCAGTAGGCGAGATCATTCAGGACTACGACAGCGACAAGATGTTCCCAGCGCTGGGCTTTGGAGCCAAGCTGCCGCCAGATGGACGGGTGTCCCATGAATTTGCCCTGGTGAGTGAAACACTTTGACATGACGTTGAGCAGCAGACGTGCAGGATAGGGGAAACGCTGATTAAGATTGATTGGCTTTTAAAAAAGTTAGAAAATCTGCTGCCATCTTACTTTCTTATTGATACCACTTTCTAATTATACAACTTATTATACCACTAATGCATCCCTTCACTCAGTTATCAAGGTAGCAAAACTTTTTTAGGTTTTGCTACCTTGATAACTCAAAGAATAATCTAGGATTTCTGTACAGTTACATTCAGAGTCATCTGCTTAAATACCCTTAAAAAATCCAGTGAAACCAATTGCTTTAAATCATATAATGATAAAGTAGAGTTAATTGGTGTGAAATGAACTTTTACTAAACATACAGCTGTTTTATGAAGGGAGTGTTGGAGGAAATTAAAGCATCATGAAGACCTAGTGAGTCTGGAGGAGCTGTGGCCACAGCTCAAATAGGGGAATTTTGTTGGCAGGACAGCTATTAGTCATATTCATCACACATTTGACTTGACCAAAGCAACTGCTTATAGAAAACCATCATGAAAAGTTTCTGTTGGGAGTTTGTTGCAAAGTGATTTGCAAGCGACAAAGCAATGCCCACAGTGAAACATGGTGGTGGCAGTATCATGCTGCGAAGAGGCTCTCTTTCTGCAGGGACAGGGGAGTAGAAACTAAAGACCCAGTCAAAGTCTAGACCTAAATCCAGTTGAGCGTTAAAAAAGTCAACAGATTTTCTTAATCTTCACTGACTTTTCACACTTATTGACCTTTTATCTTCACTGTTAATTAAAGCCTCTTTGTTTCTTAATGTTTCAGGGACATTTCATTTCTCCTTCTACTTCGCTTTATTGTCATTGGCTTTATTTCCATCCCGAAACATTTGAAAATAACTGTCCTCTCCTGATATAGTTTTCCTTCTTTTTGCACATCAGAACGGTAACCCTCAGAATCCGTACTGCGCTGGTATTGATGGCGTGATGGAGGCCTACTACCAAAGCCTGAAGTCTGTTCAGCTCTATGGACCCACTAACTTCTCGCCTGTCATCAACCACGTAGCCAGGTACCACACGCTCTCCTCAAACTACCACAATCAAATCAACTTTTCTTTGTTTCTCCACTATTTTCTATCATTGCTTATGTAATGGATTACATTGGAGTATGTGTGAAAGAACACTGGGTACCCTGACACTAAACACACTCTTCTCCATAATGAGCTCTGTGAAGCAAGTGTTGCCAGGTAGCTAACAAGAAGTGTTTTCATTTAAGGAGCTGATTACATGTTTGTTTCTGTCTGTGCTTCAATAAGAGCATAAATCATGCCGCAGGGAAGGAGAGCGAGCACGTCAGAAGAAGTTCTCCAAAAAAACACATTAAGAAACTTTTCATACAAGAGTTTAATTAAAGAGGAGCAGCCAAGTGATGTCTCATCAGGTTATTTCACAGATCTGGGGGATAATTTACTGAGGTCTTAGCTGCATGACGAAATTAAAGCACGGTCTGTGAGAAAAGACGGGGATGTAAATGCATATCAGGCTTTCTTTTCTTTTTCTATGATCGACTACTAGAAGAAACACTCCCATAAACACATAAATTAATACATGAACATTACAGTTTAGTGAAAAAGTAAGTTTGGATGCAATAAAAGCATGAGGCAGTGCTTAGCCTTCCTTGGAAGCAGGAGTTTTTGGCAGTTTGTGGCTCTGAAGCAACAAGTATTAAGCAATGCCGAATGTAAAGACAACAGCATTAACTTTACTGAGGTGATGACTGACTGCACATTAATCTGGAAAGATTGACAAGGTTGTTGCCATAGAAATCTGAAAACTATCATTTAATAAATTGTCAAAAGTAAAATGCTTCATTGTGTCAAAATAAGACAAAATACGGGGAGATATTTACTGCTAAATTATGAGAAACTCATAATCAAAAAATAATAATTAAGGGGATTTTAAGTAAAAATAATAAGAGTTGTTGGATGAATTAACAATATATAATTAGGGTTGTCACGATACTAAACTTTTCAACTCGATACCGATACTGAGTAAAATATTCGATACTCGATATCCTTTTCGATACCACAAGAATAAAAACAAAGACTCTAAAATTCAACAGAAATATTTTCATCGTTAAAAAAATACAAGAAATAAATTAAAAAAAGAATAAAAATAATATTTGAGGTTGTATGCTGTGCACAATATTAAGCAAGCTTGACAAAAAACTTACAAAATTGAAATTAAGTGAAACTGGCCAAACCAGTTTAACAAAACTAATTCTCAGCAGCTGCACCTGTTACCAAAAAAGTCTGGAACTGAAAAATGCACAGAATTATTCAATCACACAGTGTTCTGAAAGTGCATTTTCCTCTATTCTGCACTTTAGATGGCTATATCGATACTTTTGAAAATGAGTATTGTATCCGGATACAACGTTTCAGTATCGATACTTTTTTGAGTTTCGATACTTTTGACAACCCTATATATAATATAAATTCGTAGAAAATAATGAAGAATTGTTAATCTGCAGTAAGAAGTAATAAGTAAACTGGTAGGACAGCATTTATTAAGAACTGTATCAGCTGTGTAGTAAAGGCAGATATTTAAGGGTGGCTTCAGATGTCATCTTTGTGCTTTAACAGACACAGCATTAGTAATCTCTGCCAATAATAGCCATCAGTCACAAAACTGTAAATGTATTTTTCTTCCATTATGAGTTTTTTTTCCCATTTTGCTTTTTTATTTAAAAATAAATAGCTAAAATCGTCAAATAAATTCAAGGTCGTATCAGATGAAAGCCTCAATGAATACAAATTAATTTAAAGCTACAGTGTGTAATTTTCAGCGACATCTAGCGGTCAGACTGCAGACTGCAGCAACATGAACGTCTCCCCCCCACCGCTTCTCCCCCCCAACAGTACGGCGAGCGTTACGGGACAAAATGTCTTCCACGACGTCCGCATCACCTACCTTCTCAAGTGATGAGGTTTGTTTACATAGATAATTTTACAGATAGTATTTCATTAGTCTGTGTAGGGTATAGATTTCATGTAGACTTAAGATAATAAATATACCCGTTATTTTTTCTACGTCGTTGTGACGTTTTGGTGAGCTGCTTTGCATGGTGATATAAACAGACGAAGTAATTGTAGTCATTAGTTTAACAGCGAGATTGTGTTCGCTGGAAGAATATATATTCCCCGTTTACAGAGTCCAAGTCTTGTTTGTGGCACGGGGGTTACAAGGCAAGGAAGAGGGAAAGGAAGAGGGCAGAGAGGCCGGGGTGAGCGTGCAGCTGGGGCCAGGCGAGAGAGGGGAGCCAGCGGGGTGAGAGCAGAGGAGGAAAGGCTTGAAGATCTCCAAAGGAGCCGGAGAGGAGTAACCGAGGTATATATCCAGAAAATTATTTTACAGAAAATTACTGAATCATTACCTGTGAAACGTCAGGGACGTTGCTGAATAAGTATACTGGAGAGTAACAGCATCATCACGCAGCATGTTATTGTTTTAGACAGGTCTGAGCATCCTGTACTCCAAAAACTGCAGTGATATTAGACAATTGTGTGTGTAGGATTAATTACCTGTCCAAGAGAAAACTGGCAACTTGAGCGTCACTTTGAAAACCTTTTTCCTCCATCAGTGACTTCCATCGTGTAAATGCCGTGCCAATGTTGATCCGTGTTTTTTGCCGTTTCTTGTCACGCCTGCGTTTATTCTCGTCGTGTTTCCGCTTCTTAGATGACGGGGGTTCGGTGTCCGCCGCTTTTCGTTGTGATACAGAGTAGGCATGATCCTCCATTCGTCTGATGTTTGGCCACACAGTGCCAAACAGTTTGCAAAGTCACTCACGCCTGCCGCCTTGTTTACCTTTCTTGTTACCGAGGCGCAGTATACCTGCTTCTTCTTCTTCTTTGGTTTCAGGCAGACTAAACGCTTCTCAGGCATAATACTGCCATCTACTGTTCAGTACCGTCTCAGTTCATCTCTCTCAACTTGCCGTAGTTATTTTCGAGCGTCATGGGAGATCTCGCAATCGCTAGTTTGTTGCCTCTGCGCTGCCGTAGCGCAAAGATGTCAGCCTCCATGGCTGCGAGACCCGCTCCTATGTAATTATAAATAACGAATTCTAAGGCAACGCAAATGTTATGGTTAAAAGGCTGAGCTCATAGGTGATGATAAATAACATAGTTATGTATAATATATTAAATTTCTGAATTTATATGCCTGTAATTATTACACACTGTAGCTTTAAAGAAAATTAAAATTATTTATGGGTAAATCTATCCAAAATCCTAAATCTTAATATTTTCAAAGTTTGTTCTGAGGAATTTTACCCTGGCCTTTTTTTGCACAATTGTCTGAATAGGCCCTGTTAAGATCATGCAACAGCATCTCCATCAGATCTCTGATGTCACGATCCCATACCATTACCCTACCACTACCGTGCCTGAAATGTGATGCATTTTCTCTAAAATAGTTTTACAGCACATGTAGGAGGACACACACCTTTCAATAGTTTTCTTAAAAGGTAAGAGGTTAGTATTTCTTTTTGATTAACAGGGGCCAACTCTTCCATTAATGCTATTTTTACACAGTATCTGTTTTTATTTCAGTTATTCCCACTTACAGTACCCTAAATCCAGCAAATAACGTTTCAGAGCTTTAGATGTTGTTCTATGTTTTCCTATGTTTTTTTTTTTTTTTTTTACCTCCTGGATAATTTGTTGATGGACTCCTTATCTAATTTTGGTATGCTGGTAACTCCTGGCAAGTTTTGCAGCCATTCCTAAATGGGAAATTTATCAAATGTTAAGCTTTATGAAAGTTTAGACAAATGAATATTGACTGAACAAGGACATATTGTTTGGAAAGGCTGCCAGGTAACAAAAAATTTTCTGTATAAAACAACAGAGGGCAGTTATGTGTAAGAATAATATATTATTAACTCACATGGGAGTAAAAGGCCCTGTTTTTTGTTGCAGTGCCTCTGTGTCAACAGGACTGCTGTCATATTACGATCTTTGGTATTGATTTGATGTGTTTGAATTGCGGCAGTAGAAGTGGCTGTCTAACTCTACTATCGTGTTTTAATGACAACCGGAGTTATTTGCCTCATAACCAACAGACAAGCTGATTAAGCCTTGTGTTAAAAAAAGCAAGAATTTAATCCTTGATAGCTCCCAGCAAGGCAGCAGATAAAATACCTGTGTCATATCAGAGCAAGGAAGATTAACAGCAAAGGTAAAGATGTAGGGATGTTCATCAGCACTGAAGGACTATGATTTTAGGATTTCCCTTTTATTTCTGCTAAATCCTCTGCTCAGAATTTTCCATTTGAAATCAAATAAATTAGTAGCAAGAAAAGATACGAAGAGATACAAATAGCTCAAACAGGAAATTTGTGTTTTTATGGTTCATAAATGGGAATTAACTTGTTATTAAACATTATACCCCAGCATAATGCATCACTTCACTCAGATCGACTGACTCCTCAGACTTTACTTTAGTCTTGACCCACCAAAAAAACAAAAACAAAAAAACATTTCTTGACATTTTGAAATAAAGATCCAGATCAAGACCGCATAACTGATATATGAGGGTTAACAATGTCTCTTTGAACTAAAATAGTTGATCTATAAATGCTGAAGAACCTATATTATTTAATACCTTTTGCCAGAACTGTGCCTAGTTTACATATTTAATATTTCTTTTGAGTAAAAAATTTCTGTGTTTTTATTCCTAGGTATGCTGCTTCTGTGAAGGATGGTTCTCAGTACTTTGTGCTCCTCATCATCACTGATGGTGTCATCTCAGACATGGCTCAGACAAAGGAGTCTATCGTCAATGTAAGGAAACATTTATGTAGCTGATAACTCCTCAATTGGTAAAGTTTGATAGCCTTATTTTAAAAGCTCAGACTGTCCACTCACTTCCTGAATTCAGATGCATGCAGTAAATATACCACATTTTAAACATTTGAAAAGAGAATACAATTAATTTATTGCAAAAATAGAGTTGGCCAAAGTGACATGAACTTTTTGCTTCTTTACTTATTATTGTAAATAATGTAATTTACACCTAAAAACTGCATTGGTGGAAAGGTGTTAAAACAAAATCCCAAAGAGAAAGAGTGTGTTTTTTATTGAGGTGCCATATATTTAACTTATCCTATAGAAATGGTAAAATAAAAAAAGAATAAAACATCAATCGTCACTTTTTAAAAAATTTTATGAGCTAAATATTGGAATAATTATGTTTTATCGCTCTCTGGGTTTGGCTTTGTAGGCTTCTGATGGGTTCATTCACAATAGCTGAGTTAAAAAGAGCCAAATCTGTGCATGTGTCTGAACAAAGACGCCATTTATTTCCATGCAACATACTAATGCAGAGCCTAGTGCTTAATTTAACTCTGTTGAAACTAACGTAGAAGTATTTGGTCATGATGACTATTAGATTTGTAGGAAAAAAAGGAGCAATTTGCAAAAAAAGGTACTTTTTTAAGGAAATGGGTCTTCCAAATCCATAAAGTTCCCAGCACAGCCAAATTAGGTGGCTTAAGGAAAACAAATCCAGTGTTTTGGAGTAGCAATCACTAAGCTCTGATCCCATTTAAATGGGTTAATTATTTATAGAGAGAGCTGCAAAGGTCTACGAATCTAAATCAGCTTCTATGTTTCTGTCAGAAGAATCTAGAAAAAAATTATTTCAAACTATTAAAAATCTTCAAGAAAGAGAAACAAAATTCAACCCAAATAGGCATTTCTAAAGACGTGTTTACTTGTAAATTTTAAGAGTACAAAAAGATCTAGTAATTGCCTGATTTAAAAAGCATATTTTTTATCCATTACATGTTTAGAAATTTCCTATTAAAGATGTATTTTAATATATATTTTCTCCTCCAGCTTCCTTTGCTGCATATTTCATCAGGTTCAAACATTAATTAAACAAACATCCATCCACCACCACTGTCGTGTTTGGTGGATTTTCTTTTCCTCCTGTCTCTTCTGATTACATACACCACAGTCTGAATGACAGCTGAAAAACAAGATGCTATTTTCTAATCAGCTTGTTTTGTGGATAATTATCAGCTTCCAACTTTACTGACAAATAAATGTCAGAAAATCACACGTTATTGTAGTTATCAGCTATTTCTGTCCTCCAGAACCAAATCCACTCTGATAAAAAAATAAAAATAAAAGAAGCTGTCAAGAGATATTATCTTCCTTCCCTTGTTTTGCCCGTAGAGACATTATGTAACAAGAGTGTTTTTACTCTCTACATTTTTATATGGTGGGTTTCACTAACAGTGTGTTATTCCCCCGTCCTCTCCATCACTGTCAAGTCAAAGCGTACTCTAGAGGAAAGAGTGTCGCTTAGAACACAAACAAAACAGAGAGAGGACGGCTGCCATTCCTGAGAAGCCAGTGACCCGAGCCTTTGAACGCAGCAGCAAAGAAACGTGGGCTAGAAAACATGAAGAGATGATGTTAGAGAGTGGAAAAGAGGGGGAAAAAAGGAAGACAAAAGAGAGGAATAGGGGCCTAAAGGGGAGCAAAAATAAAATCAAGATGTTTTGATAGGATCATCAATCTCTCTCTGCAGCCTGGGGTTAAAACATTAGTCAGATACACTGAAAGCATCATTGGTATCTTCTCTATAAATCACCCTCTACCCGCGATCGCAAAGTGAGCTCGTCATTTGTAAGCTGTCAGTGAGTTCAGACGATGTCGTAGATTTTCTAACCTCCAACAACAGTGACTGTGATGTGTCTCAACCCACACAGCGCCACATGAGGAGGCGCGTGTCAAAACATTCACACAAACCCCCTTAAATACTAATTACACATTCAGAGTGGGCAATGCAGTGCCAACATGGCTATTGTCAAATTGGAAAATAAAATATCAGACAGAGAAGTGAAGATTTAAAACGCCAAAATCTTCACCAGAGAAGTGAAGATTTAAAACACCAAAATCTAGAATTTGTTGTTATAGAAAAGGAAAAAATAATAATTTGAGGACATTTTTCAGGTATAAAACAGTTTAAATTAACTTGTTTGTACAAAAATGTACAACCAGTCCCTGATTGGTTGCCTTGTGGCAATTTGACAGAAAAGTTCAGCTTGTTTCATCTTCAGCATATACTGCTCTGCTCTCTCCATGCGATATGACAACATCTCTATAGCACAATGTGAGAGCGGAGCAGTGAATGCCCTCACTGCGTGCGATTCACCGGTGCTCGCTTCCCTGCGTGGTTTGCATTGGAATTCTATGTGAATCCACTGTGAACACCTTTGTTTAATTAGAACGCACCATCACACAATAGGGCTGTGTAAATAAACTTTTCTCTTGTAAAAAAATTTATTCAAACCCTAGTTTTAATAAAAACGATGAATTCAAAGAAACAATTTATTACATTGCAAAAAGTGTATTTCTATGCTTTAAACTAAGATGCATTATAGGGGAAGTTATCATATGCATTGCAATATGCATGATAGTCTGTGGCCTCCACTTAAAACAGACAAACAAACAGCGCTGTCCATGGTGCTGACGCTCTGCTCTGGCTACCCTGATGTAGCCAGGTAGTGGAACAATTGGAGGTAAATGCAATTTCTTGACAATGCTCATGCACAGAGCTGTAATACTTTTCATTATCTAATGAAATGTATTACAGATTTTTAATACTTTAATTATTAAAGATGCATTCTTTTCCCATATGCAGACAGGAACAGGGAAAGCAACAACCAGTGGTGGATGTGGGGATCTGATAAGGGGCCTGCGCTCTCGCTGCGTTATTGTTATTCTATACATCTTTACCAAACTTTTCTCGCTATCGGCATCAGACACAAATCACATTCACCTTTTTAGGGTTTCTATTTTACGGTGCACATTGTGAGTCAGATTTGGATTTAGAAGCAGTTACATCAAATAAACAAAGTGAGAACGTCCCCACTAGTAGATTATTAGAGTTTAGTCTGTGAATCCACCTTTAGATACATTTAAGGTTTTCTTTAGAGGTTTGAATGACCTGAGTGTTTCTTTCTTTTTCTTGCTGCACCTGAAAATTCTCAGGATCCTGTTAAGGGTGTTGTGTGTAACTTTATTTCATTTTAATTCAAATTCGGTTCTAATTTGATTTCCCTAACACGTGTCATGATGACGGGGTTGTATAATTTTATCTGCAGCTTCTGTTGTTGTTATGATCTAGTTATTTAAGCATTATTAAACATGACACTTTTAATATGACAATAAAAGCTTCTGTTTTGTTTAAAGCTGTTGGGGATTTGGATGCTTCAACCCAGTTGGGAGACAGAAGGGGTTGCACGCAGTGGCAACTGGCCAGTAGAGGGCACCAAGGCGCTGCCCCACCAATCCAATGACCTTGATTAAAAAAATTTTATTATAAAATTTAAATATTTCAAAATACAGTATATTAATACATTTTAGATGTGCAAGATAAATATTTAATCTTTAATGACGCGTAAAGCTTTGGCCATTGATGGCATCTGTAACCACCATTGACTCTCATTAAAAGTAAATGCACAGTAGCTTCTCTTTAATGCAAAATTATAAGAGATCTCGGGGCGCAGTTCTGCCCTGAGCTCACCAGGACTGTCATCACAGTTGTAGTGCGGCTGATTGACAGGTCCAGTCGTGGAAGTTGGAGAAAGAGAGAGAAATGGCGCAAGAAAAATAAAATTAAGTGAAGTCCATTAAAGCAAGAGAAGCTGGAGGTGAAACCCTTTCGATCTTATCAGCCGCACAACAAAATTAATAAAATTAAATAATAGAATATAGCGTGCTTTTTCTAGATGTTTTTTAATTTGCCTAGTTGCTATAAAAAAACACATTCTCAGAAAATAGATATCTTTTATATATAAAAAAATATAAAGCTAAAAGTAAGTATATGTTTGATTGATTTTTGGTAAACGTCTATTTTGAATTTATAGCCCTCCCTGGAGAAAACTCCACCAGCTGCTACTGGTTGCACGACTAAAAATGTTTAGTAACCACTAGATCAAAAGCTGTAATTAGGAAACTTCTATACTAACGGTTTAGGATCATTGTATCATGATGCAAAAAATATATGCAGTCACTGGCCATTTAACTCTAGATTTCTTGATGTAATTGCAACACATCTATAAGTGTCTCCAAATTACAGATGCATAGCTCAACAAATGCTAGCTGAAGTTTGGGAAAACATTTTAACCTTCTGAGACTTTGGTTTTTTCTTTTTTGCCTGTCTTGTAGGCTTCCTGCCTCCCAATGTCAATCATCATTGTGGGAGTCGGGCCAGCAGAATTTGATGGTAAGCTCTGCGTTATTGACAAAAAAAATCCTTTCGTAATTTGATATTTTGAAGTTGTACACAGAGGTTATGCTTTCAGCCTTGAGGAATGACTGGCATACCTGGCCAACATCCTTTTGTAATTGAGGCTCAGTTCTTTCAGTGCTTTTTCTTCCTCTTAGCCATGGTCGAGTTGGATGGCGATGAAGTAAGAGTCTCTTCCAGAGGACGACAAGCAGAGAGAGACATTGTTCAGGTAATTAGTAACTCCTTTGTTCCCCTGATCTGAAGTTTCAAATTTAGCCAGTTCTTGTTTACAACACAGCTTTGTTATTTAGGTTGGATCATCCTGTTCTAAATTTGTTCTTAAAATTATCTTTGTAAAAATTTCACCAAACAACGACTTTATCTCTTTACCTTCCTTTCAGTCATGTTGGGTTCCTCCATTTTTGGGCCGTTTTCATTAAAGCAGCTAGAATCTCCTGGTCTAATCGTATTTTAGGTTCTTTAGACTTACGTTTATGTCTTAAAACTATTTTTTTTAATCCTTTGCTCCCCCAAACAACTGTTTCATCACTCCTTCCCTTCAACGAATCCCTGCCTTAAGAGTTTATTTATATAGAAAGAATTAAAAATATAACAAAAGCATAAGAAAAGTAAATGGCATTGGTTTGATTAAGGAATGTAAATTACAAAGAACAGTTTCTGAAATGAATGTGTTTAGGTTAACAGTGAAAATAGACCAGTCAAAAGATGTTCTAAACCAAAGGAATTTTAAACCTTTATTTAAAGAAGCTCAGAGTTTTTGGATCTTTGCAGTTTTCTGAGTTTGTTCCAGGCTAGTGGAGTATAAGAACCGAATGCTGCTTTTCCTTGTTAAAAGTATATTCTTTAAGATACAGGAAGTCACGGTGAGGAATTTAGAACTGGGGTATTGTGCTTTGCTTTCTTGTTTTGAGCAAGGTCTGAGTTGATCCCTCCATCCGGACTTTGAGCCTAATCACTGGCTTCTGGCTGAAGTGACTGAAGTAGTGATTGCTCAACCTTTAGTCCAAAAGTAGTTAGTTTAGTTTTTTTCAGCTAAAGAGAATTATTGAACATCTTGGATTGATTTGTTCTATGAATTTACCAAAAACTTAAATTGGTTTATAGTCACCTGTTGACATTGTAATGTAGAGCTGTGTGTCATCTGCATAGTTTCGATAAATTATCTTATTGTTTTTTATGATCCCAGTTAGGGAAAAAATAATGAGATTAAATATGAGGCCTAGTGGTTAGGGCATAGAGCTTGGAATCCCGAGTTTCTGAGTTTGAGCCCGACTCCCAAGCCCTGGGCCTGGGTCTCTGAGTAAGACTCTTAACCCCTCACTGCTCCATGGGCGTCGCAAAAATTGCAGCCCACTGTTCCCCAAGGGGATGGGTTAAAGGCAGAGGTAAATTTCTCCATTGTGAGATCACTAAAGTTCAATTATTTATCTATGTATTTATGAAAGGCACTAAGATGGAACCTTGGGGAACTCCACACTTAATTAGTCAACTTTAATGCAGGTATCTATAGACACAAACAAATTCACCGACAAAAATCAGTGACATCTGCACTTCTGGTACTTCAGTAATCCAACATATTCATCAGTGTGAACCCACTTAGGTTTAATAATACCAGTACTGTGGTTCTTTCATAGTCTGCAATTAAACTGATGCTAATGAAGACCTTGACAAGGGCTGGTGGTATGTTTATATGAGCATGAAAACCTGACTGGAAGTGGCTGGTAATTGTAAGAAAGGTTTTCAACTGTTTAAACACCATAAATTTACAGAAGGGTGAAATATTTAAAATGAATGTGTAATTCTGCAACAGAAACTGTTCAAAGTTGTTATTTTTAAAAAGTGATGTGTTTAATAATTGAGTTTAATCAGATGCTATGAAAAGGAGAACTTAATTAAAGAAAGCTCTAGGTAAAGCATTGAGAAAGCAGAAGGAGGAGCTCAAATGGTGTACAATTTCCTCTATAGTGTATTTTTTTTCCAATAATTGTTTTGATTGGGTTATGCATACCTGTCCTAATACAACTGTGCGTATTGTGTTTTGTGTTGCCACAAAGGAAAATTTTGGTGATACTAATAGATCCATGCAATATCCTGGCATAAGAGGAAAAAAAACATTCATACTAAGATGTTTGTTTGACTGTGACTCAGTAAAGCCAAACCATGACCTTTATTTCACCACTGTAATACCGTACTGCCTGCCACCCTCCCATACAGAAGCCGGGATGCTCATTAGCTGGCTTTTTAATAAGCGGATGCACACTCATACACAGTTGCTTCATCGATGGAAAAAAAAAAAGAAAAAAGTTTCACTAGTAGAGTATTGCTTCAGCTCAGCCTGCAGATTCTCATTATGAGCAAGTTAATAACCCAAATAACATGGCGAAGTATAAGCAGTGGAAAATTTCTGTACAAATTGGCTGCATATAGTATCTTGCTACTGCAGGTGAAAAAACATTCAATAAAATAAAGAAAACTTTTTTATCCATGATATGTAATTGCAATAAAAGATGGTGTAAAGGTTGCAGCAATTTTGAATCAGCCCTGCTAAGTGCCTTCAGATGACAGGTTCTGAATTGGTGAAATAGAAAATGACAGTGAATTAAATTAAAATGCAAACTGTAAGGCAACAGTGATCCAGTATGTGTGCAGTAATTCTTAATAGAATCACATTGAAATCCTGATGAAATTTGATATTTTCCTACCTTATTTCTGGCATTATATTTGGCAGTATTTGAGCAGGGAAGGAGGACAATTTGTTTCCCAGAATATTCATAAATCAACTGCATTACCTAAAAGAACAGATTGCCATGAAGTTGAACTTCCAGAACAATATAGACTGTTACTCAGGAAGAGAATGTTGAGTTCAAGGATCTTTTAATGATGGAAAATGACAAACTGAAAGATGCTTATGAACGATAACAGACATAAAGTCAGGAAACTTAGACGAGGAACCAGTGCCAAACTGAAGGCTTAAGTAGAGCAGAGAACAGGTGCAGACACTGGGCTAAAACAGAAGAGACAGGAGAAAAAAAGTCAGTTTATTAACGAAGAGTCTGGCTAAAGAAGAAATTACTTAAGGTCAAACAGGGTGAAAAAACAGCCCTAACAGAACCAAAATTACAGAAACAATGACTGACAAACTAATGACAAAACTAACAAAAAATACAAAGAAATACACAAGAAACATTTACTAGAAAAAAAACTGTAAAAAATGAAGCAAAACAGAATATGTATGGCAAACCCCAAATAGTGAAAAATCACAAAATAAGGCAAGAACTAAGAACTAAATCAAAACTATGATCCAACCTGCAGATCTGGACACAGACATTCTGATTTTGTTGTTTTGACCACCTTTGTCATCAAAAAGTACTAACTCCTGCTTGCATCATATTTTTTACTTGATTGTATTGAAATCCCCCCCGATCAAGTAAAATGATACGACTGGCATAAAATCATATACAATCTGTCATGATCGGTTCTCTAATGGAGACCCAAAGATGCAGAACACCACTGACGGACACAGGATGAAAAGTTTAACAAGTTTATTTGCACAATCACACAGTTTATGCAGAAGGCTGGTTCGGGCCTGGATTCTGGTTTCACCGGAGTCTGCGAGAGAGACAGCACTGTTAAGGACTGTTGACGGGGTTTGGTTTCCAATGGTGCACAGAAAGTACCTTGAGGGTTCTTGAGGTTATCTTTGGGAGAGTCACTGTTGGTTCTGGAGGTGGATTTAGTAGCAGAGTCCGTTAGCTGCTTCAGCGTCTCACATCTAGCTTGAACAGACCTTGGTCTAGGTTTCCCAGCTCTAGCCCAGAGCTGCTTGGAGGTTCTCTGAGAGTCTTCAGGGTTTGGCTCTGAGGGTCGGCTCGGCAGGTTAGCTCTTCCAGAGCTTTCACGGAGGAAGCACGGGTTTCCTAGAGGTACAGAGACAAAGGTTAGAATCCAACCAGGAATTAGAGTCATAGAAAATCACTGAGATCTAGGCTTTAGCGCTGACCAACTGGAACAACACTGCGGCGTTGAGGCAAGGTCTGAAGACAGCTTATATAGTGGATCCTCTGATGATCTTGATGAGCTGCAGCTGTGCAGGAGGCTCCCTCAGAGGATCCACGGCGGACTCTGCTGGAGAAAGATGGGATTTTCTCCAGCTCCCAACAGTACTCCCCCCCCTCAACGACCGCCCCTTGGCGGTCCGGAAGAGGTGGATGGGCAGGAACGCTCGTACTCCTCGATGAGAGCAGGGTCGAGGATGTACGAGCCTGGGACCCACTGACGATCCTCCGGTCCGTAGCCCTCCCAGTCGACGAGGTACTGCCATCCGCGACCTCGTCGACGGGAGTCTACTATGCGGCGCACTGTGAAGGCCGGATGGCCATCGACCTCCAGGGCGGGTGGTGGGGAGTCGGACGGTGGGCACAGAGGACTCAAGGAAACAGGCTTGATCTGGGAGACGTGGAAGGTAGGGTGGATTCGGAGTGACTGGGGAAGTTGGAGACGGACAGCTGATGGGTTGATTACCCGAGAGATCTTGAAAGGTCCTATGAATCTCGGGGAAAGTTTTCGAGACATCCCCTTGAGGGGGATGTCTCGAGTGGAGAGCCAGACCTCCTGGCCCACAGAATACTCAGGGGCGGGACGTCTCTTGGCGTCGGCGAAACGCTTGACTGACTCGGATGACTGGTTGAGTGTGGCGATGGTCTCCCTCCAAATCCTCCGACAGCGGCGGATGTGTTGGTTCATGGACAGCACCGATATCTCTCTCTCATCTGCGGGGAAAAGAGGTGGTTGATATCCGAGACTGACCTGGAATGGGGACTGTCCAGTGGATGCGGAACGGAGAGAGTTGTGGGCATATTCTATCCACGGGAGGTATTGACTCCAATCCACCGGGTTATTGGAAGTGAGGCAGCGGAGGGTGGATTCTAGTTGCTGGTTCATACGCTCGGTCTGGCCATTCGATTGAGGATGGTAACCTGAAGTGAGTGAAGGTTTGCAGCCGAGAGCAGAACAAAAAGCCTTCCATACCTGTGATATGAATTGGGGACCTCTGTCCGAGAGGATCTCCTGGGGGATGCCATGAAGCCGGAAAACATGTTTAATAAGAAGCTGGGCTGTCTGAAAGGCCGTGGGAAGTTTTCTCAGGGGAACTAGATGGCAGGATTTTGAGAAACGGTCGACAATGGTTAGTATGGTGGACATACCTCGGGAGACAGGGAGACCGGTGACGAAATCAATGGCTATGTGGGACCAAGGACGCGAGGGAACAGGAAGTGGTTGAAGGAGACCAGAAGGTGGTTGATGTGAGGCCTTGTTACGAGCACATGTGGGACAGGCCAACACATACTCCTTTACGTCTCTGTGGAGTGTGGGCCACCAGAAGCGCCTGGAGATGAGAGCGACTGTCCTACTCACTCCTGGATGAGCGGAGAATTTGGCGGCATGCATCCACTGGATAAGACGGGACCTGACAGAAGAAGGGACATATGTGCGATTAGACGGACCGGTACCTGGATCTGGTTCAGTGGCTAGGGCTGAGTTGATAAGGTCCGTTATTTCCCAATTGACCACTCCTACGGTGCATGAAGCTGGGAGAACAGGTTCAGGTGTCTCTGGATGATCGACGGAGTAGAGACGAGAGAGAGAATCGGGCTTCACGTTCTTGGATCCGGGTCTGTAGGTAATTATAAGATGGAATCGTGAGAAGAAGATTGACCACCTGGATTGGCAAGGGTTAGCCTGTTTGGTTGACTGGATGTACGCCAGGTTCTTGTGGTCAGTCCACACAAGAACCGGATGCTCAGCTCCCTCCAGCCAATGCCTCCATTCTTCCAACGCCAGTTTGATAGCCAGGAGCTCACGGTCACCCACGTCATAATTCTGTTCAGCTGAAGAGAGCCTACGGGAGAAAAAGGCACAAGGGTGTATTCTTTGATCAGAATCAAGTTTCTGGGAGAGAACAGCTCCAACACCGGAATCTGAAGCGTCCACCTCAAGGATGAATTGTTTTGTCGGATCAGGTTGGATAAGTACAGGTGCTCTGGAAAACAAGGATTTTAGTTTCTCGAATGCAGCTTGAGCCTCGGGGATCCACTGAAAAGTTCGTTTAGAGGAAGTTAGTGAGGTTAATGGAAGGGCGGTTTGGCTATAGTTCCTTATGAACCGACAATAGAAGTTAGCGAACCCTAAAAACCTCTGTAGTTGTTTTCGATTCTCTGGAACTGGCCAGTCTAGGACTGCCTTGATCTTGTCCTCAGAAGGTATTTACCTGGCCGCCCTCGAGCACAAACCCCAAAAAGGTGACTGAAGGGCGATGAAATTCGCACTTCTCTGCTTTCACGAACAGCTTATTCTCCAGTAGTCTCTGTAAGACAAGACGGACATGTCTCTTGTGTTCATGGAGGTCCTTGGAATAAATGAGAATGTCATCAATGTATACAAATACAAACACGTTGAGGAAATCTCTGAGAACATCATTAACAAGGGCTTGGAAACAGGCTGGAGCGTTAGTCAGACCAAAAGGCATCACCAGGTATTCGAATTGGCCCAAGGGTGTCTTAAAGGCAGTTTTCCATTCATCACCCTCTCGTATTCTAAGGAGGTGATAGGCGTTTCTTAAATCCAGCTTGGTAAACACAGTAGCACCCTGCACTGGTTCAAAAGCTGAAGCGAGAAGAGGCAGAGGGTATTTGTTTTTAATTGTGATCTGGTTCAAACCTCGATAGTCAATGCAAGGTCTCAAGGAACCATCCTTCTTGCCCACGAAGAAGAAACCGGCGCCCAGGGGAGAGGAAGAAGGACGGATTATTCCAGCAGCTAATGATTCGTTGATGTATTTCTCCATAGTTTCTCTTTCTGGTTTGGAAATGTTATACAATCTGCTGCTTGGAAGAGGGGCACCAGGTAAAAGTTCTATGGCACAATCGTATGGTCTATGTGGAGGTAGGGACGTCGCACTGACCTTACTGAAGACGGGGGCTAAGTCATGGTACTCAGAGGGAACTGAAGAAAGGTCAGGAGAGTCCATCTCCCCCCCACCTCTAGGAGGCCCCACCATAGGGGCAGCAGAACGAAGGCAGGTTTCGTGGCACGAAGTAGACCATGATTCCAGGAGACGTTTGGTCCAATTAATGTGAGGGTTATGCTTCTCCAACCACTCAAATCCGAGGACCAGGGGGGAACATGCAGAGGGAAACACAAAGAAAGTTATAGTTTCTCGGTGGTTACCTGACAAAAGTAGCTCGAGGGGCTGGGTTTGGTGGGTAACACGATGGAGTCTCTTTCCGTCTATGGCGGACACACTGAGAGGCTGAGAGAGGGGAACGGTTTTAATCTGGAGTTGCTGGACGAGGTTTGAGTCGATAAGATTACGCTCACAACCTGAGTCGATGAAAGCGGAGAAAGAGAGACTTTGGTTATCACAGAAAAGGGTGGCTGGAAGCAACAGTCGAGGAGATTTAATTGAATTTATATGGCCCGCCAGACTCCTCATATCCTCTGGCGGGCCCCGGCTTTTGATTTTGCCGGGCAGGAGGCGATAAAGTGACCACTCTCACCACAGTAGATACAAAGTTTTCCTAAGAAACGCCTCTGTCTCTCCTCAGGAGAGAGCCTAGTGTGTCCCACCTGCATAGGCTCATAATCCCTTTCGCCTGAATGAGAGGCCTGAACAGGCAATGGTAGAGACTGGGGCTTAGTCCTCTGAGTGGGCATCTGCTCTGTAGAGGGAGAGAAAACAGTCACGTTATGAGAGGTAGAAGAAGAATTACTCTGCTTCTTTGAACTGTTTCTGGCCCGAATTCTATTATCTAATCTGATGGAGAGGCGTATTAAATCTTCGAGGGAGGCTGGTTCATCGAGGGTAGCAAGTTAATCTTTGATTTGTTCATTTAAAGCCATGAAAAAGGCTCCTTTCAAAGCGCTCTGGTTCCATCCGGAAGCTGCTGCTTTAACCCGGAAGTTAATTGAAAATTCTGCCACCGAAGAATTACCTTGTTTAAGGTTGAAAAGGGCTCTGGAATCAATTGTTTGGTCTGTCTCCTGGTTAAAGACCTGGGAAAATTCAGCAATGAAGTCAGAAAAACTGCAATTTAAACTGTCGTCGATGGCAAATCTTGCCTGAGCCCATTCCAAGGCTCTTCCTGTTAACTGAGAGAGAATGAACGTTATCTTCTTGTGATCTGTGGAAAAACAACCAGGGGAGTTCTGAAAGATCAGCCGGCACTGGAATAGGAATCCCTTGCAATCTTTCATGTTACCAGAGAATTTTTCTGGGAGACTAGGACGGAACTCTGATGACGTCACAGGTTGTGACCTCGGGGGAGGGACTGGACCCGGAAATGGTTGCTGTGCAGATGTAGCATTAGCACTATTGAAGTAGTTAACGTAGCCTTGAATAGCTTGATTTTGTCTTTCAATGTGGGTGTTTAACTCACGTAGAGCCAGGCCGAATCCTTGGATTTGGGCAGCCTGTTCCTCTAGTCGACGGAGATGGTGATCTGCTGGGCCTTGAGTTTGGCCGCAGTGTTCTGTCATGATCGGTTCTCTAATGGAGACCCAAAGATGCAGAACACCACTGACGGACACAGGATGAAAAGTTTAACAAGTTTATTTGCACAATCACACAGTTTATGCAGAAGGCTGGTTCGGGCCTGGATTCTGGTTTCACCGGAGTCTGCGAGAGAGACAGCACTGTTAAGGACTGTTGACGGGGTTTGGTTTCCAATGGTGCACAGAAAGTACCTTGAGGGTTCTTGAGGTTATCTTTGGGAGAGTCACTGTTGGTTCTGGAGGTGGATTTAGTAGCAGAGTCCGTTAGCTGCTTCAGCGTCTCACGTCTAGCTTGAACAGACCTTGGTCTAGGTTTCCCAGCTCTAGCCCAGAGCTGCTTGGAGGTTCTCTGAGAGTCTTCAGGGTTTGGCTCTGAGGGTCGGCTCGGCAGGTTAGCTCTTCCAGAGCTTTCACGGAGGAAGCACGGGTTTCCTAGAGGCACAGAGACAAAGGTTAGAATCCAACCAGGAATTAGAGTCATAGAAAATCACTGAGATCTAGGCTTTAGCGCTGACCAACTGGAACAACACTGCGGCGTTGAGGCAAGGTCTGAAGACAGCTTATATAGTGGATCCTCTGATGATCTTGATGAGCTGCAGCTGTGCAGGAGGCTCCCTCAGGATCCACGGCGGACTCTGCTGGAGAAAGATGGGATTTTCTCCAGCTCCCAACACAAACAGCATAAAAATAAAACAAGCCGGTCCCATCGAGGCGTAATCGGAGACAATGACACACGAAGTGTGCTCCTGATGTCCAGTCTGCTCCGTAGCTTTTTTTTGGTCGCTGTAACCGCAGAAAATCCCGCTTCACAAAGATAGGATGTTATAGATAGGATGAGTCTTAACCTGTGTCAAGACGCACAGATGCACTGACTGATGTAATTGGGACAGAATACCACAATTTTTTATATTTTTCAAAATAAAACATCACTCAGACTCTGATCGTCGATAAATTATTCTGTGCGCCCCGGTACCAAATGACCGACGGACCGGTGGTTGGGGACAGCTGGTTTAGCTGAAAGGTGAACCTCTATTATGTATAACAGGGGTCTCTAACTCGAATCTTCAAGGGCAGGTGTTCTGCAACTTTAAAACGTGTCTCTTCATCAGCAAATCTAAATTACGTATGGGCTAATTAGCAGAGCTTAAATATAGATAGAAAGTTGATGTGATTCATGTGTGTAGGGCAAGAGATACCAGCTCAGATTTCAGTTTGAGAACCCTGTTCTATTAAGATTTATTTCTGGGGTTTTCCTGAATTTAGGACACTCTCCCATCAGCTTTAACATCAGTGTTAGTTTTTCGACTTAGCAAAAAATTTACATTTTACCTGAACAGAGCTCCTTCTGCTGTTTTCTGGTAGCCATGTCTCTGTAGGCCCACATATGCGACACTGATCTCCACTTTTGTTGAAGACGGACTCAATAAATCTAAATGTCCAAAACCTAGGATATGCAAAAAGTTCAAGGGTTACATTAAATGAGCCAAAGGTGCTAACAGTTAGACTTGGACTTTTAGCAAATATAAAAGATGTTAAAAAGTCTCAGGAATTCAACGTGTGTTTTTAATAGCTTGTTTTTGCTCCTTTTCATCCTAGTTTGTTCCATTTAGAGACTACATCGACAGAAGTGGAAACCACATATTGAGCATGGCCCGGCTTGCAAAAGACGTACTGGCTGAGATTCCGGACCAGTTCCTTTCCTACATGCGGACCCGGGGAATAAAGCCTTCACCTGCGCCACCTCCCTACACACCGCCAGGGGAGCCAGTTCAAACCCAGATATAAAGAGCGGGCTGTTAAAAGTTAAAGCCTTGCAGTCAGGTGTTCTCAGAACTTAACGCTCAAAATACTTCCGTCTCCTTAAAGCCGCTCTCCATGCTTCGCCATCATGGATGACAGGGGTTTTTCTCATGGTCAGGAAGCTGCGCGTCAGGCCAGGAAAGACGTGCTTTAGAAGGAAAACTCAGCAAGAGTCTGTTTACTTCCACTATCAAGCATTCCTATAATTGTCTGGATTTTGATAGGATAATTATTCCTTTTCTCTTGTTGTGCATGTGTGTGTGAGTGAAACCGGAAAAGCTTTGGAGAGAGTTGATAGATTCAAATTGTGCAGAGAAAAGAGAAGTAAAGAAGGTAAAAACTAATAGGCCTGAAAATTCTGGAGAATGTCTGCAGATATAGAAAAAAAGTATCTTCATTTTCTGTAAAAAGAAAAAAAAAATGGAAAAATGTACCATTTCTTTCTCTTTTCTCTCCCAGAATAATTGTTTACAGTAAATGCTAGCAAAGATTTGTACCGTTGATACTTTTATATACATATAGTTTCACTCGGAAAGTTGTAATACTTTCTCTTCTCCTGGCATTTATGTCAGGTAGCTGCAGTGCAGGTAGCCCAGTAGCCCTTCTGTACTGTACCGTACCGTGCTGTACCGTACTGTACTGTATTCTAGTGTTTGTATTAACCTTTTGCATGCATGTAGCCTCGGTCAAGTGCATGCACATAGTGGCCCTGCACTACCTCTTCTATCCATACATGTTTGTGGGAGGTAAATTAACTTTCTTTTACTTAATTTATCCCCCTTTGTGCCTAGTAGCTGTATTTCCATCCAACTAATTAATTTTTTGCCTTGATTTATATATGATTTGTGTTATTATTACAAAACAAAATCAAATATCAGGTATTTGCTTATTTCAGTGTTTTTAAACCCCATTCTAATATCATCTGCATACGTGATCCCCTATGAGTTTGGGGATTTGTAGCCTTGTAGAGTGTAGCGCTGTGTGCACAGCTTTTGTCATCTTTAAAGTCCAAAGAAAGTTAAGAAAAGATTGTGATTATAAGTTCTGATGTCTCCATTTACAATTCGTGAATACACCCAACAGATTACATTCACATGACTACTGAATAAGAAAATTCTTATTTTCCCATAATTTTTTAATCCTAACATAGGCATGAGGCCAAAATTCCTTTATAACTGAAATGTACCACATCATACAAGGTTTTACATTAAAATCTAAAGCTTAATTAACCAATTAACAGAATGCAACATGTTTTCTCATGTTGGCTACTTTTTTATGGTGGTATGTTAATGTTTAATCTATGAAAAAATCATGTTAAGTTAATAAGAATAATGATTTTGTTGAAATTCCAGCCAACATTGCCATGTTGCTCCTTTGTTTGCTTTTTTGTGTTTTGCTTTAATATTTATTAAGAGTCTATAAATAATGTATTATATCTGTGCCATACTATAGTGTTGTAACAAAGCAGATAGTCATGGTTAGCTCATTAAAACAATTTTAGTAATACTACATATGTCTAAATACAAATATTCATTCAGTTTTGTTTTGTTTTTTTTAATCCACACAAATTTTATGATAAAAACCGCAATATAGGCTAGGAAAAAAAAAAATATGTTGCCAAAATTATTGAGTTATCTAAAATGGGGGTTAGGATTTAGAAAAGTTTTTTTTTCTTCTTTGGAGAACCTTTTTGCAGTTGAATCATAAGCTAACACAACACCCACAAATTTCAGCAACGTTGGTAGCCCATGAGTCAGAGTCTGTGCTGGCAGCTTTCTCTAAGCTTGCAATTAAAGAGTAATCAGCCTATAGAAAGGTATATTTTGGTCTATTGTTCAAAATAATAGAAAAAAATGTCAAAACATGTGTGCAGATAAGCTCGGTTCTTTCTCCTGACATTGCACACATCTGATGGCTCGACTATCATTCGGCTGCCATTCGGCTCCAATCGGCTGCCTTTCAGCTGCCATTCGGCTGCCTTTCGGCTACTCTAATCAGTGCTCTTTTTCAAGATATTTGACTTTGAGGCATTCACTAGATGTTTGTATTCTAAAATATTTGTATTCCGATGTATTAATTAGAAGTTTCAGATTTCTTGAAAGTCCAATATAGTGGCGCTAATGATTTCAGGAAGTGCCAGACATACAACATCTAGCTTTTCTTCTTTTTTTTTTTTTCTTCTAAAGCTAATTTTAGCCGCTCAACATCCAGTCTGTAGGTTCTTAGGAGTCTGAGTTGAGAAAATACACATCGGAGAATATTTTTTTTAACCACTCTAGTAACTTTTTCTTTTAAGCTAGCATTCCCCGATTATCTAAACTGAACAAAACTGCAAACATATGATAAACTCATACCGTTATTGTTGTTTTTTAACAGGTTTGCGCCTAATTTTTAACAGTCCATTTTTTCTTAATTAACATAGACTTAAGGAAATTGATCATTTTTGGGCAACTATAAATATTTTATGTAGCATTATTGACTGTTGTATGGAAATGTAGCTACTATCCTCATATTTTTGCATCTCTTTCCACCATACTATGTTGTTAATTGTACGCCCATGTGGTCAGGGGTTTTATATCATCGCGTCCTCATCCCGCATTCCTCCCCTTGAGTTTAACACATCCCAGCTGCTCTCAAACAAAATGTTTGAGCAAATAGAGCCCAGTGGTCAAAAATGCATAGAAAAACAAATTCATCCCATTTTGTATTTTTTTCTTAATTTTTGTAGTATTGCAGAGTATGGACGTGCGTTTGCCAATTTTTATTACGTCTTTGGCTTTGATACGACTTTGTACACAAGTTTTAATTTTGTATTTATACGTGCTCTAGTGTGTATGAATTGTGTATCCACCGACAACATCTGATGAATTAATACTGATGTCTTCTGTTATTGTGGCACGTTTGTATTGGATGCAGTCTGATTTGTGTTGTCATGCAAGGGATGTAGTGATGAGCGAGAATGAAAATATGACCCAAGTTACAAAAAAAAAGCTATGGCAGTAGCTTAATATCCATCTCATCATGGTTAAACATTTTTTAATTGACGAATATTTTATTTTAAATTCTGAAAGAATAGCATTTGGAGGTTTGGATGTTGTAAGACCATTCATGAGCAGTCATGGAATAAATTTTTTTTTGCTATGTCACACTTTCTCAAAGTCTTAAATCAAATCAATCTTAATGTCAGAAAAAAAGCGTTTGCCTTCTCGAGATAATGACATAATTATGTCGTTACCACGGTTAAACCATTAATTGTTTTCTCGAGATAACAAGATAATTATCTCGTTATCACAAGAAAACAGTTATTAATTTCTTGAAATAACGAGATGATTAACCTGTATGGGTAATGAATGAGGCATGACAACAGCCCTGGATTCCCAGTTTATTTATGCCTGTGCTGCCCGTCGTTTAGCAGTTGCTGTAACGCTTGTGCGCAAATAATCCGTTTTTTGGTTTCCTTTTTCTTTTCACTCATTGTCAGTTGTCAGGTGGATGATTGGATTGCATGGAATACAGTAGAAACAAATCAGACTGTTTTTAAATGAAAACCTTTAAATTATTTTGGGGGTTAATGCATTTTATACCTGTTACAGGCGTAACACCAAGGCTGTTCAGAAAACGCATAGGTCTAATTGCTTACGAATGAAAAGTGGAAGCAAATCATCAAACCGACGACATTGTCTCATTAAAAGCTAAACACAGGATTATTTACAAAATTACACATAGGATGCCATGATTTATACTTATGAATCCTCCCCCGCTCTTGTGGTATTGAAGGATGTAATTAGTTTTAACACACACCAACCATCTCGTTATGACGAGGAAACGGCTTTCCTTATCTCTAGATAATGAGAAAATTAACGATTAATGAGAAAACCACCTTGAAAAAGTATCGGAGGGACACGACCGCTCTCGGCTAATTAACGCTGAAGGATTTTTTTTTTCTTATGAATACATTGGAGTGTTTTTAAGCAAGAAAGGCCTGTGCAACATACTATAGCCTCCCAAATAAAGTTAAGTTTGAACCTCCTAGATGAATCAGCTAGGATTGCCTCACCTAGAAAAAATTTTTTTTAAAGAGGCATCATGGAGTTTCCTAAAGATACTGACACCTGTGGCCAAAACACAGAACTGCAGCACTCTTCTGCATGTTCTCGTAGCTTACGTGGAGTTGCCATTGGTTTCTGAGTTGAGCTGGTTGGCGGTTGCTTTTGAGTAGCCACAAAATTCATCTTTAATATAACGCTTTGATTGTTTGCTAGATCGGGCCCATTTAACATAGACGCGCTTGTTATCACATCCGCTGAACAGCTCGGGAACTTCCGACTTGAAGCAAATTAAGAAAAAAAACAATATTTTAGTCATAAAGGGTCAAATAAAAAGGCTATTTTAAAGATATTATTCTGTAAAACCATAATAATGTCTCTTCTAATCCCAAAACCCTTTCCCCACTAAATACCCCAACAATATTTGACATCCAAATTTCTTTCATGATCTTGCAAATATGTTTTTTCACACCACTGTATTTTGCAAGTGTTTTTTTGTTTTGTTTTTTTTTACTGTATATTATATCAGATATAGTGAGAACTCACCAACAGCACAAGTAAAATTTGGGATTTCAAGCTTTTAACAAGAAATGTTACTTGTCTGTATATATACAGATTTTTATGTGCAGAATTAGTATCAGGCTGTGATGAATCGTTAGGATTGGCCATCAAATATGCAGCTTTAGCATACTTTCACAGTCCAACAAGCATTTAATGTTTATCGCAATAAGCTGTTAAATATAGGACAAAACTCCCTAGTTGAATATTAAAAATGAATTACATTGTTTAAAAGATTTCTACTAAATCATTAAAACTCTTGATGCCATGTCGCACTATTTGGATCAGTTTTGCTGCAGTTTTCACTACACCTACAAACAGTTGCCTCCTAGCTCCAAACTATTTAACTTTTTTGGACACTATAGCAGAGTGAATGTATGTTTAGTGGCTTACAAGAGTCACTGTGTTCAAAGCTCAGCTTGGTCACATCATTAGAACAGCAGGTCAAAATGAGAGGCTCATTACTGCAGCAGACGCACTGTAAAACACAAACACTAAACTGGTAAATGGTTCTGCACTGTGGGATTTACCACAGACTTCATTTATTGGTGGGAAATTATGTTTCTCATCCTTGCAGTATGTAACATCAGCGACTAAACAACCATATAGAACTACAAACTAGAGTTCATGTATCTTATTGATATAAAATGTAATAGTACATTAAATTGAAGGTTCAGTCAAGACAAGCACACCATAAAAAGGGAAATATTAACAGTATTAAATGTTTTGACAAGTTTAATGTACTGTTTTTATGTAGTCCAGGTAATGCTAAAAAGAGAACTAAAGTGTTTTTATACTCATGCTCCAGAAGTTGCACCCCCACCTTAAAATTCAGTTATGTAGGATAATAATTTAATTAACTTAAGGAATTAAACAATTTATCGAATTAATCATTATTAATCGATTGTTGAAATAATTGTCAACTAATTTAGTAATCGATTATTGTTAACTGGAGTATAGAGATTCTAAAACATGCCTTTAGCTGACAGAGCGACTCATGTAGAGAAGTAATTATATCAAAATTGTAAAAAAAAATAAACATTTTGCATTTAAGATAAAGAAAATGTTTTTCGTCCATCAATATTCCCTATTCAGAACTCTTCAAGTGGAAAAGATTTAGTTTCACCTGGTTTAATTTCCTAAAAAATCTTCTTTAAGGGACCTTTGGCTATCCAATTATTAATAAAAAAAAAAAAATCCACTGACTAATCGATTAGCAAAATACTCGTTAGTTGCAGCAATAATAAAGTTTAAAGTTTAATCCAAACATGAAAATTAAAAGAAATAATCATAACTGTGAGTAGTTAAAGGGGTATAAAACATCAGCAGTCAGAAAATTTGTTTATTTTGAGCTGATATTTTGCATAATACATTTTTAATCCATTTTTTCTTTATTTCCGTAATCTTCTCCATCA